TTTCTCATAGAAAATGAATATTCTGAAACAAATCAAAACAATTTCAATTCAACATGATACTGACAATCTTTATTATGATGGTATTAAAAATACTATAGTTTTTTTATTTTACAATAAAACATGTTCTTCAGACCATTTTTCATGGCGATATTTCTTTTTTTTTTAACTTTGTTACGTCTCACTATACAATCATTCGAGATCATGAGTATTTGATATATGAAAATCATTTTTATTAAATTCATGTAGAATTATTCTATAAATAGTTATTTAAAATGAAAAGTATTATCGATAAATTTTATATGTCAGAAGAAACTAGTGCTAATTATTTTCAGTTTTTTTTGTTTGTTATTACATAATTGCATTATCGTCTAAGACAATATTAATAGAAATATCATGACATTTGTCGATCTCTATAAGAGATGGTTCTATTTAATTTTCAAGTTTAATTGAAAATTGTTCAAAGTTCTCTGCATATTGTTTTCTTTTTCGTTTATTAAAATCATCATAATTGGTATACTCGAATGATGATAACATACAATACAATAGTCATTCACGTTCTGGTGTCTTTTTTGTTTTTGATTTGTTTTTACAAAAAGAAATTATTTTCCTAACTTATTTCCCTATTATGAATGAATGCTTCATTTTTAGGAGAAAGATAAAGTTTTATTTTTGTCTTTGCTCATAAAACTTTTCTAAATCTCAAGAATATAAAAAATCCTTGAAATATCGATGACAAACGAAAGAAATTTAAAAAAATGTTTTTCTCTTTATTTCTTCTTCAAAAAGTACCTTTTTTATCATTTCGATAATAGTTGTTGTTTTAATTTATTTTTCTATCTTCTCATGTTAGAGTATTTTATTTTTCAAAATATTTTCTACAAAATGAAATTGATTGATTGATGAAATCCTAGTAAAACGAAAAACAAAAAAATTGACGTTTCTCTATAAATGAGGGCAGTCGAACAAGTATTTATTTATCAATAAATCCAAAATATAATGATTTCGTAATATAAAATGTTCTTGTCTCAAAAATGAATTTTTAGAATTAGTAGTTTTTTTTCCATTCCGTAACTTAACCTTGTTTTTCTTTTTAAATTTCAAAAGAAAGAGAAAATGTAATCAGAAAATTTTATAATTTATTAGATAATATCTATAGAAAGTAATTATCAATTATTGCCTTTCTTTTCTATTTTATAAAAGGTTTAAACACTTCTTGTAGTTTCACGTACATAACCAAACTTCCAATGTACCGTGTGAAATTGCTATGAAACTTAATAATGATAAGTTTTCGAGTCAAAAATTGATCATTGAATCGAAAAATAGTTTTTCATATGATTCATCTTGCTATAAGGATCCAAGATAAGTTAATTTATCAACTCGAGTTGATTTTAATGAAGACTTCTCGCTTGATTACAAAGAATGATTCATTGAACATATTAACTTTGTAGAAAATGTGCTCTTCATTGTAAGAATAGTTGAGATATTGACATGGGTATAATCATCAATATCTGGCATAAGATAAAATTGAATTTTCTTAGTTATATGTATCAATTATGAGTAGACAATAAATGTAATAAAGGAGTAACTATCATTCACTTATTATGAACGATAACTGTATAAAATAAATCTTTCAGATAAGCAGGTTCTACAATTATCAAAACCTTTTTCTGTAAAATATGCACAAAAAACTATCAATGACCTGTATTACTCATTTTTATATATGTATTCAATTGCATTCACAAATTCAGAGAAATAGTGATGAATATAAAACTCTCAAAATTATTTTCAATATTAATGATGTTATTCAATATTAGATTTCATCATTTCGTGATTGTGAATGATACAAAAAAAGAATGTTAAGGTGCATGCTTCAGTGGGCATGAACAGCTGATTATACAGTATATATTATTGTTTTTTTTTCACGTCTAACTACATAAGATAAAATGTTAGTAGAGAGACTGAATTGACTTTAGATTTTATAAGCACAATCGTTTTTACATATTTCACTTTCTTTTAAACGTAATGTAATGTAATGCGTTAAGATAAGAGGAATGTCGTGCTCTTTCTTCATTTGTGACAATTTTTTCTTTCCACTTGAACAATGCATCGCTTGTCACAAGGAGCAAGTGAAATTGGTTATTTGATCATATCAATTGAATCATGAAAATTGAGAAATATAAGAAAGAACAGACTTGTTTAGTTCATTGAAAATTTCAAAAACTAAATGCTTTTGTTGATCAAATATATTCAGTTACCCTAGAGAAAGTACTGAGTTCAGGGTACCCATGTACTGAGAAAGCTCTAGCAGGGTACCCAATATGAGTACTTTGAAAATTCTCAGTAATTTTACTGATGTATGTACTGTTTGGGGTACCCGTAAAAGTACATTCACTGAATAAGTACCTGCATGGATACACAAGTCTGTAACTTTACTGAGGAAATCTCGACAGGGTATCCTAAATTTTTCGCGTTCTGTGTGGCGACTATTCATTCACCGTTTTCTTTTGTACGTACGGCTCTATATAAACAACTCGATAAATCATAATCAATTTTCATACTAGTTTTTTCTAAATTATTTCTTGACTATTTCTTAGTCGAGGAAATGCCGAGCTTGGTCGTAAATTAAGATCGGACTACCTTGAAGTGGTCTACGACCAACTCAAGTTGAGTCGGATCCCGACATTGTTCCTGCTAAGTTTTTGGAATTGAAAAAATTAAATTGAATAAAGTTAAAAAAAATCTAGTAAATTATCTCAAGAAAAAGAAAAATTTTTAAAAGTCAAAGATCAGGTTCGATCCTGAACATACTGAAAATTTGGTAACAGGGTACTTAGAAATACTATACAAAGGTACCCAATTCAGTACTTGATCAGTACCTTTAGGTACCCAATTACTGTGCATTTTCCAGCAGGGTACTTGCCAAAGTACCACTTAGGTACCTGTAAGTACCCGCAAGTACTTTGGTACCCAAAAGTTCCTGTGACATACTGGTATCAGGGTACTTTTTTGGGTACCCTTAACTCAGTATATTCTCTAGGGTAGTTTAAATATTCACGAATTTTTAATATTGATCAATGAAATAGATAATTGTTTCTAGTTACTGAAAAAATCACTGTCTATGAAATTATATCATATGCTTAGAAATAAATGAAGTTTATTCTGTGTTTTTATAGATTACAACTTCATAGACGATAAAAACAAATCTAAGTAAAAAATAAACTTGTCAATCTAATGATTTCATGATAGTAATAGACCATTATAAGTGTATTCGTTTATTTCTAATTATTTTTCCTTCTGAGAGAAATTGTTCAACAGATAAAAGAACTTTCCTTTGTTTTCATAGTATTTAGTTTATTCAAATCTTTCGTCAAATTATTGTCGGTATATTATTTGTTTTGATTGGATGGGGATGTTATGAAGTTTCATAAAAAAGAAAACATACTCAACAACTTATTTGTGCATTTTTCTTGTTAAGTTTGGATGTTTTTGAAAATAATAGATGCATTTTCGGACATGTATCCGTTTTTCATAATTTTAGAAAGACAATTAGAAAAAGTATTAATTAAATAGGTATATACACAGCTAAAAGCCTATATAACTGAACTAGAATATTTTTTATTAGAATTATCTTGATTTACGTAATGAACTGATGTAGTTATCGAGTATTTGTAAAAGAGACACTTTTATTGCGATATTTATTTTGTTTTTTCTTTCCAAAATAAGTGAAGAAATGTGAGTAAATTATAGGTGAGAAAATGTACAAGCAAGATATTTCATTTGAAGAGAGCTTGTTACAATGCATAATTGAACTAAACAAATAATAAAATAATGTATAAAAGGAAATTACTAATATTATTAGTTAATAAAATGGATGTGAATATGAGATATATTTATTTATTTAAATCTTATAATTTCAATTAGTTTGTTATCTGTTGACAATAATAAGACAAAATTTTGTTATATTCGAAGTACGTAAATTTCGTTGATTGAAAAGAAAAGTATCTCTGCCTTTTTAGAAATCAAATTATGTATAGATCAAATATTTGATTTTGTAAAAGAAATCTCAATAATAATAAATAAATAAATTAATGAACCATATATTTGTTTTCTCATTAAATATATATGTTGTTACAATGACAATTTTTATTGTGAAAACAATTTGCTTTCTAGAGATAGTTAAATTAATATACATTACAAAATCTGCTAAATGAAATTCTTCATATAATCTTATCTCACATAAGATAGGTTGAAATGATTTAATTCTCTGATATATTTGAAATTTTCAACGAAAAAATTTTGATAAAGATGTGTTAAAGTTCTATGCGTGTAAAAGAATTTTCGTAAGAACCGTATGTGAAGAAGTATAAGTGAATCTTTGCAAAGACGAAGAAAAATCTGATCCAAATGATTTAAAGAAAATTGCAAAGATCCCCCTAGGAAATGATATCCTCCTCGTCACTTTTATGAGAAGTTTCTATTAATAAAAAGGCTTATAATAAAAGACTTGAGGGTGGATGTGGGTGTGGGCGTATCGATGAAGAAAAGACTCACACTCACCCTAATAAAATATCTGAACTAATACTTTAACAGATAGTCTATCATTCATCAAGTTCCATCAATATGAAAGACCTACGATCAGTTGTATGCTCTTGATTTAGCAATTTTTATTGACTATTATGCACAGATAAGTTAATTGAATGAATCAAGTCGACAGTCCATAAAACCCCAAACTAAAACTATTAACGGTAACAGTAAAAGTACCAAATAATCAAACTGTACAAAATGACGTAGAGCCATCTGATGGGATCTTTGAGAAGGATCGAAATACACTCTCATTTGTCTGTTTCATACGCTCACGAAGTTCATGCACATAAAAAGTTAGCACAACGCATTTTTTCCAATTTATCTTGACCAATTTTTCTTATTCTAAATAGTATGGTATATGATTATTGACATATTTATTAAAAAAATATGACGAGATAAGTAGGATAGTTTTGCCTTCATGTCAATCGAAGACATCCTGTTTTGCTGAAAAATCGAAGACGCCATTTCCATGGAAATGGACATACTTGTGTGTCAATAAGAATTTCTTGTACATAAGAGTTACCGTTTTTATAGTAAATTTTATGATTACTACAATCCAGCGCGAGTTGGATGACAGTTCCATTACGAATTGGTAGATCTTCGGCTTTGGGAAAACGTTTACCTTTTTCACACTTAAAACGAGTACCACAACCATAGGTGCAAGCCATCTCAGTCCAATGTGTCATACTAGCTTGATATTTCAGACTGTCACTGATGATACCAAAAAATTCAATCTGTGTAATTCCTTCACATGCCATGAATTGTAATTTAATACGATGGGTGCCAGATGAATAAAGATTTGAGCCGCCAAGTCCAAGAAAATCGTTCTGACAATTGAAATATCCCGCAGCTCGACCGTCGTTTTGTATTATTAATGGACCTTCTATTAGAACCATTTTTTCTTCTGACACTGGAAATACAAAAGACAATACTTTAGTCACAACACAATAAATATTTGCTGATAAAATATATTCTAACTCTATGAGTGACTTTTGAATGATACTCAAAGTATATGGCAAGACTCATGACACAACCGATAATCTTGATCTCGATCTTAATGTACTTCGGTTCTTATTCAGTTGATCTCTGTCAAAATCAAGTGAGATCAAGCAATACATCATTCATCTGTACTTGATTATTCAAATTGATATCTCACCGAGATCAATGATTGAGACTGAGTGATTCCCTCTTCATATATGCTCAAAATACTGTCTTAAATTTATGAACAAAGTTACCTGTTGCTTGTCGAGAATCGACGGAAGCAACTGTAGCAGGCGACGGTTGAAAACTAGTGGCAGAAATTGCGGTAGATAGTCGACTATTTGAATTTGTTTCACCGTTTCTCTATCGAATGTAAAACATATGAACAAATCTTACTGTATCTGACACTAACCTGATGTTGTAAAAAAGCATATTGTGCATATCTGCTAAACATCGATACTCTATTTGAAAATAAATTTGAAATCAATCGATCAAGTTGAACAAAAGTTGGTCTGTCTTCTGGACGATGTGCCATACATTTTAAAATGATTGCCCATAAATCATCAGAACATTGACCATTCCTAGGTCGTTTTAATCGTTCACCATTAAGAACATTTCTAATTACTTCATCATCTGATTTCTCAACCCATGGAATTGCTCCTTTCGACAAACATTCCCACATAAGAACACCCATAGAGAATATATCGGATTTTTCCGTATAAAATTGTCTATCATTTGGTGATTGCAAAATTTCTGGTGCACTCGATCGAATTGGAACTGTATTAATTGTTGATGCTACATAGTTTGTTCTTTGATATATAGTACTTGCTCGTGTTAAACCGAAGTCTGTTAATTTAACAAGAATTTTCTCTGGATCAGTATGATGATAACTAAATACTAAGATATTTCGACAAGCTAAATCACCATGAACAATATTTTTCGAAGCAAGAAAAGTCATAGCATCAATAATTTGAAGAAATATTTCACAAAAAATATGTACGTTGTCGGGTAATCTTGGTTGATTCAGCAATAATTCTGATAAATCACCTAATGGAGCATATTCTTGAAGTAACATTATACCCATATTTTCTTCAGTGCTTGATTCTACAACACCCAAAGTTCGAATTATGTTCGGATGACGACTTAATTTAGCATAAAATGAGGCTTCTTTTGATGCACGAGCACCGCGTATATGTAAAAGAACAATTTCGGGTCCTTGTTCATTATTTAACCATTCAGCTTCGTATATAAATTTATCACCATTTTGAAATAAAGCTCGATTTCGTTTCTTTTTTACATCAATATTTAATTTAAATCGATAACTTTGTCTTTCGGCTTTTTTCTCTACATCTAACATTTGTTTAACAATACGATTAGAACGTAAACAATCAATAGACATTGGTTGTCGTGTTATAGGACTAACTGGTTTTTGACGTAACCATTCAACAATTGCTTGTCGTTCATAAGTATATCCATCATCAGCTATAACAGGATCAACAAAACGTGTTCCTGTTATTGGACAATCAAGTAAATTATCTATTGATTGTTGGTCTTGTTGAGCAGACATTTGTCTTTGAATGAAAAAAATCTGAAAGATTGAATCTAAGTAAAACTGATTTTTCTTGATTTTTTTTTGCATTAAAATACACAAAAGTCGATATTTTTCTGTCTTGCTCTGGACAAAAAACAGCTAGACGTTTTTTTATCGAATAAAGAAGAGAGTAAATACGTATATTTTGTTTTGTTTTCATCAAAAGTCATTGGAAGGAAAGAAATAAAATCACACTGCTAAATCAATAGCAACATGGCAACCAACTGATGCCATACGTAGAACGAATCGATACTTAGATGCTTTTATAACAGAACTTAATGATCTATTCAAGTGACTCAAAAATGAAACATCGATTGATTCCAAACTTTTTTTCAAACAAAAATATATCTATCAGATGTTTTTGTTAGAGGATTAAGAATAAGACGTAGCTAGAAAAATTTTGTTAATAATATAAATTAAATCAAAGATGGATTGTGCAATCTATCAGTAGGGAGAAAAAGCAGTCAGATTTGGATAATGAAACATAGCTTGAGTTATCTTTATTTGCATTATATGTATCTTCGCCATATAAATGAAACAAAAATAATTGTTTCCTATAGGCTGTATGTCTAGGATCTGTCAGAGAGTCAACAATCATTTGATTTTTAGACCACAAGGATCTATTGACTAAATGTCGCGATCTTTATTCTGTCAGATCAAAAAAAAAATTTCTCTCTTCTCTCATTTGTGATTTGATTATGTGTTTTTTCATCACTCATTTTGGAACTTGAATGGATGTCAACTACACTAAAATATTTTAAAGCTAATAAATGCCCATCACTGCATGGATATGGATTTTTTTGTTCCTGTCAAAAACAATGATAGAGATTTTTACATATCGGCTTTTACATTCAAGTAAATTGCTTCATAAATAGGACATGCGTTTTTCTTTTTGCAATTAAAATACAGTTTATGATATGTACCATTTAAGTTCACTAAGAATTCAATAGAAAGTTATATAGAATTCGCTAAGTATTAATCCAGGTGTGGGTGTGAGTGTACTCAACTCCTGTCAACTCACACCGACACCCATACCCACATCCACACCCACACCCAAGATTTTCCAGCAAGTACCTGAAAATGAATGGAAAATTCAGTAAAACCGTCATGATTCGGATCCGTCTCATTATAGTCATTTGGTAGGTCATTGTGAAAGTACTAAAATCTTAGCAAATTTTAAAAAAATTCAATAGTAAAACTATTATTTCAATTACTTGTGATATTGCTGCTTGTTCTTTCTTATTTTATTCAAGCATTTCTTCTAATGAAAGTGATACACATTTTGTTGTACCTCATCATTGTGTCATTAACTGTTGATTCTCCTTCTTCAATATCATTATTATTTTCTTTTTGTTATTTTATTAATTCCATTGGTTTTTCGACATTTTGAACTAGAACTAAAAAATATAGAATTAATATCAAATCACATATTCAGATAATTTCCATTGTTTAGGTGGTGAATGACGATGTTCCTATAAAATTTAAATTCGATAATCATTTCAAAAACAAATTCAAGAAATATACTTTTCTTTACTTGTAATTTTATGTCTTTTTTTAAACCACGAGACGGTGATCAAGTTGACCGAGTGAAAACGTTTTTAGTTTTCTAAAGTTATTATCAGCTTCCTCATCGTCCTTTAATTGATGGTCTTGATCATATAAAGTAGTATTTAATATTTTATTTGAAAGATTTTTTTCTAGGGTTTTGTTCAATAAGACTATGGGGTGAAAATGCTTGATCAATTCATGAGATATTTTTTAATAATCGTGTCAATCATAAGAATATCAAATATTGAAAAATGTAGCACAGAAGTAAGAAACTTCAACCTTATTGAATAAAAGTCAAAAGTCAGAATTATATAAATTATAATGAGATTTGGTGTAATTAAACTATAAGTGACGCCTTCGACAACATATGTCAACCAATCGGTATGAACAAGCACATACTATGAGTGAATGTTTTAGTCTCGATTACAATTTCATTTAGCTAAATAGAATCTTTGAATATGTAAGATTTATTAGAGGAGTAATTTATAGTTGAGCAAGTTATTACCCCATTATAAATTAAATGATACAAGGTAAAGAATACTGTTGCAAAGATCTAGATAAAATATAAATGATATATAGCTAAAATTCATTTTTACTTATTCAATTGAAAGAATACATCTCCTAATTTAACGTTGGACTGAGCAGAAAAATTGATTTTATTATGAAAGTATATAGAGTCTATGTAGAACTCATTGAATCCGACATTTTTGAACTCGGATCCTAAATGTTTTTTCTCTTGCACCATTGTGAGCTAGCTAATGTTTTTATTTTAAATTTATTTTAGAAGTTAAGAAAAACTTAAAACGATTATCTTATAGTTCTAATCATCAATGCTAATATTCAAGTTTTTATATGCTTTTTACATTAAAGTCAATTTTCTGTACTTATTTTTAAAAGGACTGAAGATAAAAACTTACTATCTCCTGCAAATTCATTTGAAATTATATTCAGTCATTACATATTTTTTTATATGAAAAACACTATAAAAAAGACTTCCACAACTCTATATTTAAAAGTCTATAGTATTGAATAAATTCTGATTCACTCTTTTCTTTTTGATGACAATTAATAAAATTTTGATTTGTACAAAACAGTATCATATCAGTCGAAACTTAGGATACTATCTAGTGTTCTAAGAAAAATCCTTAAAATATTTAGGTTCGTATTGAGATTACACTAAACTACTGAATTTTTAATTTGTCTATCATCAGAAGAAAGAAGGAATACCTTTGATATCCACTACCTTGCGATGGATTTATTAGTCCGATAACTTTCCTATCACTATGAACAGTCGTAGCTCTGAAAAGAAGACCAGCATACTATGGAACGAATCATCTAAGACAAATAGCTGCTAATGACTCATTCAACATCATTCTATAGAGAGTGGTAGTGAAATTTCCATATAATACCTTCTAGATACATGTCGTACAACGCAGCCATTCAGTCATAATGTCTGTTTATTTTCGAGAGACTAGATTTGCGGAAAACTTGAGTAGAGAAGTTTTGAACAAAGTCTCTTCCAAATATGAGACCCTTTTCATAAATAGTGTATACCAGAGATATCCATTGCGGCAGGTATCAGTTAGAATTTTCTACTGATTCCAAACCCTTAGTTTTATGATAATTTTCTCATACAAGGAATGCAACAATTTTTAATCTTGTATCAATGTAAAAGAATATAGTATTTACAATTGTAATTTTCAATTGTGATAGACATCTGTAATGTATACATTTATTGAAAGTTTCGTATCTCCTCGAAGGGACTTTGTTCCAAACTTCTGAATTCGTTTATGGAATTTAGTTTAATTGAACTCTCTTTATGTACAAAACTTTCCAGAAACCTGTAGTCTCTCGAAAATTGACATATGTATAAAAGAAAAATATCATTGAAATTTGAAGAGGACATCTGAGAAGGTTCCATCGTAAGCAATGACAACATCGACTTTTCTCACATGAACTACAAATTCACACTTATTTTCCTCTATTCATAAATCTTCAATAACCTGACCAACAACTTTTCATTTGTTAAACTTTGAAAACAATATCCACTCAGTATTGTTAGATCATATGGTACAATATAGTATTTGATATAATACAGCTTCAGAAGTTAAACGTAAAAAAAGTCAGAATAATATTTAAAATGACTTCGACATGTTGTATGATAACATAAAAGTGTATGAAGTTCTCATAATTGATTATATGTTTTCATAAGATGTTGATTATCATATATTTCTTCATTCGTATCATTCTTTTCTGTTAAATGATTAATATAATTTTCTACTGTAGCCTTGCTAAGTATCAAAAGTTAAATGTTCTGATGTAATAAGAATATTAATTGATGAACTAAGTTATAAATATTTTGCATGTACTAGCATATCATCTTTACTTTCATCTCAATGTTCATAAGAATATTGATGCATTAGTACGATATCGAATAAATAAATTCATTAAATCACTTTCAATTTGTTTTATATCAAGTATGGATTGTAAAATTTCATTTGATACTAAATGAAAACCACTTTTGTTTTGTCGATAATGTTACATCAAGATGAAGTTTCGTAACAGGCACACAGAATAGAATTTAAGAAACGACAAATAAAAATAAAGCCTGGTCACTGTTGGAATGTAATTCATAAATCATTAAGAACATGTAATATCGAACCGAGACCAGTACATAATAATTATAGTATCATGCATTGATTCAATATATATATTTATTAATACCTGTACTATGGTAGTTATTCTCACCTTTTATTTGGTAGCAGTGTAGAACTTGAAATTTGAGTTGAGTCATTAAATTTTTTTCAAATGTTAAAGTATTCCGAGAGAAGATGTACTGTGTATGTATTTTCATGAAAAGTGTAATATGCAAAAAATACAACTTTCTAAGTTTAAATTATTCAATGATTATTTTCTGAAAATGATGATAATTAAAGGATTATTCGATGAGTTATAATCGAAAAAATGTAATACAAAAACAAAAAAAAATGGCTAGGAAATCAAAGGGACCGTGGAAGTGAAGGTCGATTCGAAGTCGGTGCTCTGATTGATTTCATTATACTTGATTTGTGTTGAATGATGAAAGGTCTTGTAAAAATTGTTAAGAAAAAAAAATCTTGTGAGAGTTAATCTTGCCAGACGTACGATTGTAAGTAAAGGCAAGTGCGTAACCACCGATCTATCAGTATGCAATGAGCAACTCTTAGTAAAATAGACTCACATTAATACACTATCTGAAGATAATAACGAACGAATAGAAAGGATACGAATAGCAAAAATCCTTCTAGAAAAGTATCAGAAAACATAAAATACAATTCAAATTTTACTCTATGATTCATTATCTATGAAAACTAAGATATTGAAAATTTTTCATAGAAGTATTTTTGAGGAATTCCAGCATACGCAAAAAGTTTTCAAAGTGATTTCTC